GAGTACTGCATCCGCTTTTACTAAAAGGTGAAAACCGTTTCAATAGGGCCGGGCTCTCGCGGAGTCTCGGAGACAATGTTGATGGCTCTTTCCGATAACTTCGCGTGGTTGGCAAGATCTGCGGGTGCGCCGCGGGGCATTTTGGACCATCTGATCTGGATTGGCCAGGCGGGTGTCCAGATTGTGATGATGGAGCGCGCATTCTTGTCACTGGAGCTTCCCAGCATGCGGGAACCTCGTCCGCGAGGAGAGCGGGTCGCCACCGTCAATTGCTGGGCTACTGTGCTCCAGAATGCTGCATGGTTAGGAATAAAGCTTGTCCAGGGTGCACTTGGTCTCATCCTGGAACTGGAAAACAATGGTCAAGGAGGAGAAGAGAAGCGCACGTACCTGACCGCCATGCTGAACAAGTGCATTGTGATGGCACTAAGGGTGCAGATGACAGCTCACCACCTGCGATCGCACTTAAAAGGAGGGACAGCGGACTTGGCGGTGAGTAATTCTAGGAAGTGGAAGTTTGGGAGGACGTTGTTGTTGCCTCGAGAGTCCTGCTTCTGACACACACCGCTCCCTTGTGTGCGTTTTTCACGCTTCTACCTCCTCCCCTCCCTTCCTTGTTTGGCAATTCTTTGTCCTTTCTTGTTTACATTAAACATGTACTTCCCTTTGGATTTCAATAGTATATATAGCAAATTTAGAATTGTTATTATTCTTTAATCGGTGTACTGTTTCTTCATCTTTCTCTCAGAAATTGAACACAAAAGTCTATCATTTATAAGGTATCTCAAGATTTGTGAATTCCATCCTCTGTCTACAGTTCTTTACAGAGAAGTCTATGCCTCCGTTCCTCGTCCTCTTCTGTTTATCGTCTCCTCCTGTCCACGGCTTTCTGCTTTGGAGTTGGGCCAGATGATGTGCTTCTGAGGAGCTTGGTTGAACGCTACATCCTGAGAAGATTCCTGGTGTCGTAAACCCTCCCGTTGCGCACTGTCCTTTTCTAGCTAGCCTCGTACTCCATTGCTGTGAACCATTGATTGACGTCAGATAGATAGATAGATAGATAGATAGATAGATAGATAGATAGATAGAATAGCACACCGCTGTGGGGGGAAGTAGTTTGACAATGGTAGGTCATTTTTCCAAGGAAGGCAAGTTGGTGAGGGACTCACTAATCGAGATATGGGATGAACGAGCATATCACCAAGGGGGGGTAGGTTGTTAACTCTAATGGAGAGTAGGAGGGCATAACTCAAATGGCGCAAGTCATCCCAGTCCCAAGCGAAATGGCATCTTGTTCCCAATGACACAGCTCTTAGCTAATACGGCTGAAGTTCCGAAGAAGGAATGTTCTTGGATGCCGTCCGAGGCACAGACGAATCACAGCAGATCCATGGCAGCTGCTTTGCTGTTGAGAGCAGCAGCCTGTTAATAACTTGGTAAACCTCGACTGAGGACAGGTGATATGAACCTGAATTGACACACAGTCTTTTTTTACTGCAGTAACTTTGGGTGTGCAGTTCGAACTGCACACCCAAAGTTACTGCAGTAAAAAAAGACTGTGTGTCAATTCAGGTTCATATCAGCAGTAAAAAAAGACTGTGTGTCAATTCAGGTTCATATCACCTGTCCTCAGTCGAGGTATGCCAACAGTTTAAAGGGTGTACGGACTGTGCTAGGCCAGTTGGTGAATTGACAGGGTGGCAAACTCGGGTGTAGATCTAAAACTAGAAAAAACTGAAACGGGATGCAAAGTGGTCGGGAAATTTTCCTAGGAGATGTGTTTAGGAGGTCAGGACCTGAATTGATAGTATGTTTTATGTTTTTTTTTTTTTTTTTTTTTTTTTTTTTTTTTTTTTTTTTTAAGTGCGGTTCGATTGCAGGTCTGTATGTCAACAGTTGCAGTGACTAGATTTACTACCTTCTTCCCCCGAATACAACGACGGTCATTATAGCTGTATTTAGTCGGAAAGACAGCCCAAATACAGCTATAATGACCGTACGTTGTATTCGGGGGAAGAAGGTAGCATTGACTGGCTCGACTGTAAAGTGAGACCGAGGTTAACGTTCCTTGAATTGAAGTTAACCTTCCTTTAATTGAAGTTAACGTTCCTTGAATTGAAGTTAACCTCCTTCAGTTGAGGGATAACTGAAGTCCGACGGTAAGGCTTGTGGTTAAACTTTTACTTTCTGTAGTGGTTAAACCTCCTTGAATAGAAGTTAACGGTCCTTGAATTCAGGTTAATTTCCTTGAACTGAAGTTAACCTCCCTCAGTTGAGGGATAAGGCTTGGGGTTAAACTTTTACTTTCTGTAGTGGTTAAAACTCCTTGAATAGAAGTTAACATTCCTTGAATCGAAGTTAACGTTCCTTGAATCGAGGTTAATTTCCTTGAAAAAAGTTAACCTCCTTCAGTTGAGGGATAACTGAAGTGTGACGGTAAGGCCCGTGGTTAAACTTTTACTTTCTGTAGTGGTTAAACTCCTTGAATAGAAGTTAGCTTTCCTTGAATCGAAGTTAACGTTCCTTGAATTGCGGTTAACGTTCTTGGAACCGAAGTCCGATGTGTTTCACACTCCTTGGATCGACAGGTGGGTGGATAAGCGGAGAAGGAAGGATGGTGTAAAGCTGAGGGATATGATGGTCGGACTTGACATGATGATCATTGGAATATAAGGTAAAGTACCAGTTAAGAACTGGTACTTGTGGCAAATGCAGAGAGGGTGGTGAAAGTGGGCGGACGGTAAGGGAAGCGCAGATGGATGGTAGAGGATATAAGGCAGCACTGGGTCAGGTGACAGAATGAGTTTGAACTGTTGGTTGGTATGGGCGGGCGGGCTAGCAGACAGCAAGTTTGGACAGAGCATGAATAATGTATGCATACTATACAATCTTATGTATGCAATTTAAATGGGGATACCCCTGCAGAGTGAAGCTTGAGGTGATGTATCGGAACCGGCGTCCACAGGTACGGCAATGAAGAAGAGACAAGGCATGAAATCATGGGTATGTCGTGGAGATTACGTAAGGCTCCCACCGGTGTACCTTTCGTTTAGCCGAACGAAGCTTGAGGTGATGTGTACTGGAACTGACGTCCACAGTACGACAATGAAGAGACAAGGCATGGAATCGTCGGTTTGTCCTGGAGATTACGTAAGGCTCACACCATGGTACCTGCCTTTCCGCCGATTGAAGCTTGAGGTGATGAATGAATTGGAAGTGACGTCCACAGTACGACAATGAAAAGACAAGGCACGAAATATTGGGTAATGTCCTGGAGGTTACACAAGGTTGAAGGCTCTCACCATGGTACCTGCGTTTTACCTGAGCTGTATATGCATGTAGTTGTCGATAAACGGGGGAAGAGCTCCGGATGCTGTTGGTCGCAGTAATTATGGCTCGGGGCTACCCCTTGTAGAAAGGTTTGAGAAAAAGGGGACACAATTGGGCCCCATGACAAGATAGATGATCCTAAATCTTGGAGTGTGTGATTTGTTGTGGGGTGCGATCGCATTCACGTTGGTGCATTGTGGCCGCCGCAAGTATTTCTGTTCATGTCTGTCGTGTCGAATTGACAGTTGTTGGTGGATTATTGGCGAATAGCCTTCAACAATCACTCGTGATTCCTTGAGGAAGTTGCAGTGAACCTTCCAGGTTGTGATCCGAACCAAGCGTCGCTCGTTCCACTACATGAATGCTTGATAAGCCATTGGGCCCAGCCATTCTCGAAGGTCACACGCGCACACGGAAGACATAAAACGCTCAGACGTCACACAATGCTCAAAGGTCACATATGCACAAAAATGACAGCAATGGTCAAAGGTCACACATGCACACTGAAGACAAACAGCACGTGGATATAGAGCACTGCCAACCTCCTCTTTTTTTGTTTGTTAATAATTTGGACCATTTCTCGATTTATGCTTGCCGCTCTTGCGCAGGGGCCATGCTCATTTTCTCTCTCTGTATCCTTCCAATTTTAATGGATGTCCGGAAGGACAGGCACTGCCTATCTCCTACTTGCTGCCGTACTCGCTGCTGTACTACCACTTTCTCACCCTGACTAGTCCTTTCATAACCCCGACCAATAACCCTGAACCCTAAACCGTAAACCCTGAACCGTAAACCCTAAACCATAAACCCTAAATCGTAAATCCTAAGCCGTAAACCCTAACCCTAAAAACCCTAAATCGTAAATCCTAAGCCGTAAACCCTAACCCTAAACCCTAAACCGTAGGAGTTAATATTTGACTCCTAACGACTGCAGCCTTGAATCCGTGACAACCCTAACCCCTATTAGTGTACATCCAATTGCAGCCCTGAATCTGCCACAAAGAAACAGACCGTATGACTATCTTTCTAACAGTGAGAAGTGAGTTCCATGTAACCAGTCGCATTCGGCTGTCGACCGAGGACGGGGTCTCAGACCTGTCCTACTATTGCATAACCTGGAGGCAGCAGCAGCGCGCAGTCCCCAAGCAGAGGTTACGCTACTGGACTGCCTGGTCCTTGCAGCGTGTTGTAGTCTTTTGGAGAATATGTCACAGACATGATTTCTAGGGCTGTTTCATTATTTGGTTGGTTTGTTCTCCGGGTTATCGGAAAAGCGAAGATTCTGCTGGCTTGGGTGATTGTCTGCAGTGTGCCAGATCAGTTTGTATGCCAAGGGATGGGGAGGGAGGGGAGATGTATGTGTTGGAAGTTTATGCAATTGTCTTGGGCAGGAGAGAGCACTTGCACATGATGCAGGGGAGGGAGGGGAGATTTGTGTTGGGGAAGTTGATGCACACAAGGGAGCGGTGTGTGTCAGAAGCAGAAAAGGGGGGAGGTGGGGAGGGAGGGGAGATGTATGTTGGAAATTGCTATATATACTTCACATTAAACGTCAACTTCCCTTTGGATTTCAATTAGTTTGTGTGTGCTGGAAAGGGGGAAGGTGGGGAGGGAGGGGAGATGTATGTTGGAAGTTGATGCAAGTGTTCGGGGGCATGACAACACCACACAAGCTCTGCAGGGAAAGGAGGGGAGAGAGGAAGGAGAGAGCACTTGTAAAGGGGGAAGGTGGTCGGCACTTGTACATGGTGGAGGGGGTGTTTGTGGTGCAGGAAAGGGGGAAGGTGACTGGCGTTTTGCCTTTCGCTGAGTGGCTTTACACATGAGGAAATGCCATCTCTGATTTGGGGAGAAGTACAACTTTACCCGGATTCCTCGTTTTAGGCCAAAGATTGCGGCACTCGGTGACCGGAAAAGAGTCGTCGGGATAAATGGCATCTTCACCATATCTGAATGGCCATTTCGGGAAGGCATCATTTGCACACTGATGTGTTTGCTCTCTCTCTCTCTCTCTCTCTCTCTCTCTCTCTCTCTCTCTCTCTCTCTCTCTCTCCTCTCTCTCTCCTCTCTCTCTCTCTCTCTCTCTCTCTCTCT